GACAGCATGAAACCCACAATAAATAAATAAATAGCCTAAATAACAGTGAGAATAATAATAATAAGTTATTCTCTCTATGCTATATTTAAATGTTTCAAGTGATGCAGGTGTTTTTTTCCCTGTAGGTTTTTAAAATAAAATGCATAAATTTTTCATAATGTTTAGTGAAATTATTTCATATAGGCCTGGCCTACAGAAAAGAACACTTGTTTAATCTATCTAATATTGTGTTGGTCATACTATACAATGATTTATAGCTTGTCTTTGTTGAATAATACAGAACATAAATAGCTTAAAAAAATAATTGCATATTAAATCGCAATATTGGTAAAAAAAAAAAAAAATCGCAATTAGATTTTCCAAAATCGTTCAGCCCTAAATGGCACTTGTTTTATTGTTTTAGACATATTTATAAGATGCAAGGGCTGTGGAAGATTATTTGACTCAGAATTACACAAGCAATTATATATAACACCACAGGGATAATTAATGCTAATGATGATTGCGTACTACTTTCATTCATTCAACTTGACTGGCAGTTCTAATATTGTTTGTAATTTATTTATAACAAGAGTTCTCCAAGATTATTGATGAAGCTGTCTATGGCGTGAGTACAATTCCTCTCAGATCATGCTCTACCACGATTATTTCTATTGACATATTCAGACTAGGGGTTGTATACATATTTAATATCCCCAACACACAGATGCTAAGGAGAAATTATTTTGTCCTTCAGCTGAATTTCTTTCATTCACTCACACAAGCTCACACTTGTCTGTTTTTCCCACAGTAGCTGTCACAAAGCAAGGCCAGACACAACAGGTAAGTGCAAAACAGGTTGGTTTATTGACTGGGTAAGTGGATGACTGGAATCGGTGAGTTAAAGGCAGGTGAATGTCAACACAGTGAGTGGTTCCAGCCGACGATGTAACCCAGGAAATGCACCGTGGGGCGATGGAATTCGCATTTCTCCAGCTTCAAGAAGAGATGGTGTAAACAGAGCTTCTGTAGGACCTGCTGAACGTGTTGGCGACGGTCGGCCACGTTCCAGGAGTAAATTAGTATATCGTCAATATAGACTATCACAGAGCGGTGGAGGAACTCCTGGAACACCTCGTTCATGAACCCCTGGAAGACCGACGGGGCGTTGGCTAGCCCATACGGCATGACAAGGTACTCATAGTGGCCAGATGGTGTAATGAATGCCGTCTTCCACTCGTCGCCCTCCCGGATTCGAACGAGGTTGTAAGCACTTCGCAGGTCCAGCTTGGGATCGTGGGAGGAACAGCAGGTAATTCGTTCTAGGAGAATTTGGCAGAGAGAGTCCAGAGTAGTTCGTAGGAGTGAACGGTAGACCTGACAGTGAGTGACTGTGCTGTGTGTGTATTTGTAGTGTGGCTTGATTGGTGACAGCAGGTGCGGGTGATCAGAACTCAGGTGACTGTGATCGGGTAATTATCCTGGATGGTGACTAAAGTGACTGTGATGAATCCCTGACAGTAGCAATGTGTTGCTGTTTTAAAAAATCTATTAATATTTTATTCCCCCTTATAAACTCCCAACCTAAGGCTGAAGTCTTCTTGAAGTGTCTGGATGCCTTTGTGGAAACATAGGCTTGGGATTTTTGTAATGAACAATGAAGTCTTTGCTTCTTCCTTCCATATGTCATTAGCTTCAAAATTCTTTACACAGTAGCCGCATTTTTAAATTTCATTACATGGAGCCTTCAACTCGACAAAACATGGCAATAAAACTCACACATGGCCGCGAGATCTTTAAATTGCGTCAAAGGTGTGATTTGACCACCAAAAGGGTAACAATGGGGTGAGACGTCAAGATGAACAGAGCCTCATCACAGAATATATACTTTCAATAATGAGGGAGGGTGCCAAATGCGCAATCTGTGGGGTTGCTAGGCAACTGCATCAGCATCACTCCAGCAGCCTCGTGTCAAGAAACGCATTGGAACCATGCTTTTGCATGGCTTCGCCTGGCTCATGTATGTGATTTGCAGCACATTGATTGAAGAATGCCCCATTGCCTGCCTCTTATGGCAAAGTCACCCACAGGCTGAATCGCTCAGTAAAGGAAGTAATGATTCACAGGCATCACGAGTTCAGCACAGTTGGCAGCATTAGTGTGATTATTGTTTTGGATTCAAAGTCTTCATTCGCAATGTATCACTCCCAAGGTGACAGATGAGCCTGTTTCACGATTCTGTTGCCCTTTGCCTGTAGTATGTAACGCTATCAGTTATTAGCAGCTCAGCGTTTAGAAGCAGTGCAGTGTCTTGCTGTGTGATCATTCGTTAGTAATCAGTAAGCAGAGGTGGAAAGTAACAAACTACATTTACTCGCGTTACTGTAATTGAGTAGTTTTTTTTGTGTACTTCTACTTTTTAAAGTAATTTTTAAAATCTGTAATTTTACTTTTACTTAAGTATATTTTGTTTTAAGTATTGTACTTCGCTACATTTTAAAACACATTAATGAAAAAAAAATCGCTCCCTGGAAACGACTGCAGTAAATAATGAGTAGGAGAGCAAACTGGCGCTAAAATCACAAGAAAGATGCAGACGTACAAGACTAGGCGTTATGGCGCAGACCCAGCTGAAACCGAAACCCCGTCGTATTCTGTTGAAGTTGAACTCGAAGGAAATGAAGTGAAACCCTGGCCATATTTAAGCTCTATTATGCAGTGTAAGCTGTGTTTGCCTATAGGGAGACCAAACTAGCAGCTTATAAAATCTCGACATCAACCCTTTGCCAGCATGTATAGGTAAGGTAAATACTTGCATCGTTGCATTGGTGGTTAAAATGAAGCTTTGACAGTTTAGCAAAAGGTTTTGCACAAATTAGCCAAAAAGACAGTGGTGCAAGGTGTGCGATATACAGTATATCGTCTGCGATAATATCGTAATTGTTGTTTTAACGATGTGCGATTTGACTATCAGTATTTTGCCAAAAACCAAACAAAACACTCCTACAGAGTGCCGTGAAGTCTAGTAACGTTAGATTAGACTAGTGCGCGCGCATTTAGAGTGCATTCTTTCACTGCGTGATTCAGTCTGTTAAAATGAATTTAGAATGATCACAAAATTGAAGATATAGGGGCAGAAAATTTATATATTCAATATAATCAATATTAAACGAATATTCGTGGAACTTGACCAAAAATCAGCATGATTACATATAGATTTCTTTACAACAGTTCAATAAACAAGAAGTTAATTAAGAGACTTGTGTTTTAGACATCATGTCCCCTGTTTTTGCTCTATTTCCACAACAAAAATAATTCCAAACACAGCCACCAAAGCACAGTTTTGTGTCTCTGAGCAACATGAAGGTGTTTTGTTCCTGAATGAATCAACCGTTTAAATGATTGAATTAAATGGTTCAATCGCAATGACTCACTTATTAACAGTGACAAACCTACTGGCGGTTTTAATTTCACATGTAAAGTATTTTGATTTTTTTTTTTAATATAATTTCAAATGAGTATTCAACATTTTATGTCATATATCAAAACATTATTTCTGCATTTGTAACTGCAGGTTAAATGCATTCATGTCCTGCATTATACAGTGTGTAATCTAAATGCCACTACAGATGAAGCTTCTGTGCTTCCTCTGCATTGCAAAGATGAATTTTGTTGATAATGATTTGTGATAAGTAATTTTTACTCTGAGTAAATTTTAAATGAGCTACTTTTTACTTTTATTTTTACTTGAGTAGATTTTTAGACTGGTACTTTTACTTGTATTAAGTCAAATTTCATTAATGTAATGGTACTTTTACTTGAGTAGAATATTTTCGTACTCTTTCCACCTCTGTCAGTAGGACATGATCAAACTGTGAACTGCTCACTAAAGTTGCTGCTGACGGCAGCAGAGCACACGAATAAAAGAGAATCTGTGCTCATTAATTTAGATTTACAGGCCTAGCAGATTATACATTTATATACTTATAAATATGGCAGTGCAAAGCTACCACTCTTCTTACCAGGATTTAGCACCAACCTTTTCATCTCATTTGAATTTTTTTTCTGTCCAGTTTTCCTGTGTATTATGATTAGCCTGATATCAATAATAATTCTTTGTTGCTTGATAATTACGCAAAGATTGATGTTTTGACTCATTTTGGAACTATTTTTGTTGGCAGAGAAAAAAAAATGCATGAAATATAAAAATATAAATATTTATTTAAATGCAAGAGTGCACTTATTTGATCAAAATCTCAGTAAAAAAGTAATATTGTGAAATATTATTACAATTTAAAATATCTGTTGTCTGTTTTAATATATTTTACAATGTAATTTATTCATGTGATGGCAAAGCTGAATTTGTCGAATGTCGAAAACATTTGTGCAACTTAATGTTTTTGTGGAAACCATTTTTTTCTGATCCATTAGATCAGAGTAATGTCTTGAACATCCATTGTTTGAAATATAATTTTTTTTGTAAAAAATTTCACATTTCACATGATCAAATTAATGCATCCTTGCTGAATAAAAATATGAATTTCTTAAAATAAAAATCTTCGAATGACCCTAAACTTTTAAACGCCAGTGTATATCAATTATATATTTATACTTATTTACTGTGTATAAAGTTTTAAACAGACGGTCTTATGCAGACTGCTTAGACCGCTCTGATTCATCGATTTATTATACACAGCATTTAAATGACATTTTATACTTTTAAATTAGTAGTCTGTTTATCCATGAACTGTTGATTTTGGTTGGTTCACTTCGTCAGTCTTAGAGTGGCCAAAAATGATTGCAATGTGTTGCAGTGCTTGATTCATTCATTAATTTCATGCATTTTTGTATAATTTAATTAAAAATGTTTTGATTTAAAAATCTGCTTGTCTAATTACAGCTTTATTAAAACTGAAATTAATACTACTTCACTTTTTTGTAGACTACTACATCTTGCCGTTTGAAGAGCTCATTGATGATGCTGTCCTTTTAAAGTCTGCCCTTCTTTTTTGTTCTTGCAGCTTTCTGAACTTCTCCCGGCTCAGTAGTGCTAGAGCCTCAGACGTATTTCATCCTCTTCCTCATCGATTGTGACTCTGAACTTCTCTCTCCCTCTGCTGAGGGAGCACCTACCGTCTGTACTTCTGCTGTCCAGTACACCAAAGCAGGTGACTTCAGCACACACACTGAAAGACAGTCCTTTTATACTCACAGGTGCCCTGGACCTTTTTCGTTCACCTGAGAGATCATATTCCTGCAGGCCAAGCAGTAAATGCTATAGCACTGTCTACTTCTGACATTCAAATGTCCTTTTTCCAATAAGACTACACTTGTGTCCGAGGAACCAGCCTATTTGAAGTCCTCGCATGTCACAATTCTGAGAAGTAATGTCCAAATAACAGGAACTTACAAAGACAAAAGAAATAAGGCCACAGTTGCTAGATATAAAGTTGCAGTGGCTTGTGTCTACATGTCAGGGCATTCAGATCCAAGTTCTCTCATAGAAGCTTGTCCCAGTTTGACTGGAAATGTGCAACTTAGGAGCTTGTCAAGACTGATTTTGTCTCATGTGATGTCTTTTGAGAACAAAATATAATTGGTTCCCTTGAGAAATCCGCTGCCTCACTAGGGGTTCACTGGTATGTCAGGACAGCCTGGTGCCCTTGAAGATTGTACATGGTAAAGATCTTGTCCCATTAGAATAAGTAGAAGAATGAGAACTCCATTCCCAATGCACAGGAGTGTGTGTGGCCACACAAACCGTACATGTGTGAACATGTAGTGACAAATCAGATCTGATCTTGCTCCCGCAACTCCTCTTCTCCTCTGTAGACTTTTGGAATGGCTGCTAAACCTCATCCACCTCTGATGAAGAAACACAGTCAGACCGATCTGGTGAGTCGTCTCAAGACACGCAAGATCCTGGGCGTCGGTGGAGAGGATGATGATGGAGAAGTGCATAGGTCGAAGGTCAGTCTTTGTATCTTGCATTATTATGTCCTTATTAATTTCCTCTCCCAAGTTCCATGCGACTTGCATACCAACTTACACACGCATGTTAATGTTTTGCATTCAGTTCTTGCAGAGAAATGGATGTTCATATTGTCAGTGTGTGATATGAACTGTACAAAAACACACAATGCAGTCTTTTGCTTATCTGATGCGCTTCCTTGGTTGTTGCACTTTGATGGAAGCTCATTTAGACATTTAGCCTTTTTAAAATTTTTGTGTTCTTTTTATATGTGGCCTGATTTTATTTTGGGTTCATTTTACCTGTTACTTTTTGAGTAGTATGTTGCCATTAGTCGGGTTTTACAAAATTCCTGTCCAAAAGTCCAAAATTATCACTTGCCAAATGGCCTTGTTGAATAAATAAAATTTTACTTGCCAGTAGATGGTAAGATTATAATACATGGCTGTGTCAGATTGTAAGAACAACCTGACTGTTGCTAATGTAAGTGATATGCAACATTTAAAGCAGACAGCAAGACAAACTGTCCACTAAAGATTTAGTGACCTGTAATTTTTGAAACACATATGCAAGAAAAATATAGCTGGTTTTCCAAGTAAAAACCGCCAAATAGTACAGAGTCTAGCGACACACAGCGACAAAGTAATTAATAAATAAAAAATATTCCAAAATAAAAAAAAAAAACACTGTAAAGATTGTATAATATTGCAAATATTGTAAGATAAATTATCCCAAAGCAAAATGTTCAATTATTTTGGGATCCAAATAAGGGATATTATAATCTAAAAATGAAAATTGTCATAATTTAGTGACCCTCATGTCATTAAAAATCTGTATGACAAAAGATATTCTGAAGAATGTTTTCAATGGTGTCCAGAGCAACACTGTATTCCACTGGCTTTTGTATGGAGCAAAAAAAAAAACATTTAAAAAATATCTTTAATGTTTCACAGAAGAAAGCTTTACAGGCCTGGAACGACATGAGGGTGAATAAATGATGACAGAATTTTCATTTATGACTGTAGTATTCCTTTAACAGAGCATTTTTGTTTATCATCTCATCGGTCTCTTTTGTTAAGGTGCATTTATACCACTTTTTGTTGGTAATTAGATTAGTAGTTAAGATGGAGCACCTTAACACCGAGTCACATCCCTCCAATGACAGATATACAGTAGATTTCTGTTGCTTTCATTTCCCTGCATTGCAAATGTTTTCCTTCACGCATGTGCCGGTTCTTGTTGAAGGAGCAGGCAGTCACACAGGCCGGATTATTCCCTCCAAAACAGCATTGTTTATTTCTTCCTCTTCCTGCCTTCTCTCTGCTCTGTTCATGCTAAATGCGTCTCACGCTCATGATTCAGGTCTGCTTCCTGGAGAAGGGTCTGTTCCTGTGAAAACCACGCGTTCTAGAATGACTGTACAGATGCGTGATTCAGTAATGACACAGCAGCCAGAGGCCAAACTCACATTCAAGCAGATGCACATGTCAGAACACATGCACAATGACATGATACACACCTAGTGAAGTGCTGTTTTTATGTGTGCATGGCCTTTTGGTGCAAATGACCCGCAAAGCATTTGAATGGAAGTTGCATTTGCATCAGCATTTGTTTTGACTGTGGTAGAAAGAGACAGAGCCAGTGTAAATATGTGGTAATACATGCACTGATCTCTCTATGTCCTTTTGCAATGTTTTGATATCCTCAAAAGTGCAATTTTTGTTTACATAACTTCCACACAAGTCGACCTGGGCTTTGGTAATAACTCCCATGAGATCACTCTCATTGCTATGCCTGGCTTTTATCTTCTGCGATCAGAGTCTGACCTGCAGTAGCCTCTAATCAGGATGTCGGTAATCGCTGAGAATTTTTTGCAGAGGCCAAAGCTGCCAGCAAATTGAAATATTTGCGCTCTTTTAGAGCTCAGAAAGGTCTCGGCTGCTTACACTGTTCAAATAAGATGGCCGTCACAAAACCAACCACCAGATAAAATGCAATTTGCAGTTAGCCAGTTGGTAAAGTATGCTTTCGAGCCGGAAATCTTTACTGCTGTGAATCCTAATGAAATATGACAGCTCTAAAATTAAAACTGGATTGGATTTAATTTAGGTTGATCTAGGATTGCTTGATTATGGCAAAAATCATAATCACGATTATTTTGATCAATATTGTAATCACGATTATTTAACGTGATTATGAGTGGGCCAAAACTTTATTTGAGTGATTTATATAAAGATAGCAATATATATTAAATATATTTTCTGTAAATAAGGTTGCTATGACATCTACATTTTAGAGACCAGTGTAAATTCACAATTCTCGATACCACAGCAGAATTATAATATTAGTAAAAAAAAAAAAGTCCTCAAAAATTATTGAAAATAATTTAATAATAATTAGAAAAAGGAAAAATAATAAGAAAGAAAGGAGGAAGAAAGGAAAGAAAGAAATTTTAAAAATCATACAATGATCTGCTCTCTATGGATTCTCTCTGCAACACAAAGCAGATACAAACTATAGTGTTTTCCATGTCAAGAGGCTGTTTACTGTTTAATGTTTTGTTGTTAATGCAAGGAATTTCTTTCCTTCCCAGGTTTGGGTTATTCCCCGTCCATTTATTCACGTTCTGTCAAGTTCACTGGTTTCTCATTGGTATATCTGTCTGAAATACCTAATTTTTTATTTATAGAGATCTTGATTTTGAGGTCAAGCTCGAAAAATGTAAAATTGGTGTCTAAAGTTTGTGGCGACTCATGAAAATCCTTGTATATTTCATTCTTTTCTAATTTAGTTTTTAATTTAATATTTCATTATAAATTATATCAGCATCAGCATAACAATTTGAGTGAAAAGTTGAATTAACAAGAATTTCAAAGTGTCTTGGCATTTGGTTTTGTCCATTTAGCTTTAAAGGGTTAGTTCACCTAAAAAATGAATATTAGGCTGCGTTTTACTCACCCCCGAGGCATCCTAGGTGTATATGACTTTCAGACGAATCCAGTCGGAGATATATTAAAATTTAGGGATGCTCCGATCGATCGGCCGGAATGAAATAAATTATTTGGCGCCACAGTCATGTCATCGCTGGTGTGGAAATGCTATGACGTTTCGAGAAACAATGACCTCATACGTCATCCGCCCGGAACTGCTTCCGTTTACAACAGTGAGCGCAAGCTAGATTAAAGTGATTATTACGTTTTGAATATGGATATTATTCTTTCAAAAACGCATCGATTCGCTACAGAAGGCCTTTGTTGTTGTGTTTTTACGGATGGGCGCTTTTTATTTAACTTCTTTTGGACTGAAGCAATGCAAAACACCCGCTGACTGCAATGATAGAGCTTGAAAGATCAAAGAGAATTTTTGCTATAACTCTGACTGGATTAGTCTGAAAGAAGAAAGTCATATACACCTAGGATGCCTCGGGGGTGAGTAAAACGCAGCCTAATTTTCATTTTTGGGTGAACTAACCCTTTAATGACAGCAGCACTTGAGTGTGAACTCCAACTTGTGCCAAACTTGGACCCAGTTGTTCAACAAGTTTAATCTGGATCACAGTGATCTGGATTTGTAAATCCCTTGTTTTGCTGTCCAGGATTTCATGCACTTTTTTCCCAAGGCAACATTGGATTGGATCACCCTGATCCAGATACACACTTTTGCAGATTACAAAATCCAGATTACCAGTGCTCTGAATTGGATTTCATGTATAGCTACTAGCTATGTCAAGACGAACAGGAACAGACAAACATCCCCTTCTATTTACTTTTAAAAAGTCAGATCCCTCATCTGATCCACAACAATTAAATAAAAACAAATATGCATTCAACAACAGATGCAGTTTTTAGAAAATATATTTGACTGGTTCATCTCGTGTATTTGTAATTAATATACAATAATAAAAACAGTTATTCTTTTTTTTGACTGGGAGAGTGACTTTTTTTTTAACTTTACTGTGCTGAAAGGTAGCTTAAAGTGTATGTACTTTATCACTGTAGCAAATCAAATGCAAAATATAAACATGATTCAAGCGACAGTGAGTCGTGCGCTTCACACTAGAGTTTACAGTACGTTAAAGTACGTTAGACATCATTTAGTCGCCCAGAGTGAAGATTTATTCGCATATGCGAGTGATTTACTCGCAATGTAGAGGGTTGCCATCTGTGCAATGATCAGTGTCACAATGGCTCAATGTTTTTTTTTACACAATGTCACAAAAGCAGTTCAGAATCTGAAATATTTCAAATTCATTTAACTTTCATTTGCTTTTAAATGTTTCAGAATTCTTAAACTCTTAAAAAATGACACTTGCATCCCACTCTGTGTATTATGTTAGATTTATTCATTGGGTTTTATAGCTGCCTGCCTATTTTTTACATTCTTGTCTTGTCATGCAGAAATCTGATTTTACTCTCTGCTCTTTCAGCACTCTTCACACTCTCAACCGTAAAATGAGCCTGTCTGTCTGCTCTTTGAAAGAGGTTGTGGGATTGTGTTGTCATTTCATTAACTTGAACAGTCCCTCAGCAGAGGATGAGTTGAAATACATGCTGTGTGGCAGTAGGAGGCGGCAGTATTGGATGTAACGAAAAAAATCCCTATGATGTCTCTTGTTTACTTTTGGTGCTATTGGAAGTTGTGGTGATTGTCTGGGCAGCTCTGGGCATCTGCATTCTGGCAGTCACCAAATCTAATTTATTTTCGAGCACATTAGCACATCCTAGTATGAAGCCCAGCAGCAGCATCTGCTGTATCACTGTGGCAGGGTCTACAGGGACATGCACAATCGCAGCCCTCATGGTGTGAGTTCTCTCTTTATCTCTTCATGCTTATTTTCCCACCTCTCTGCCTCCATTCTGTCTCTTACACTGGTTTTCTCTTTCTTATTTCCCTGTTGTGCTTCCATTTTGTTTCTTTTTACAGTCTTTTTAAGGAAATCCATGCAGATGCTCTGACACTGTGGTAGTCTGCCACAGTAAGTGGGATTCTGGAGGTGTGGCATTTTATCTGCATTCACCGAGCACCCACTGAGAATAAATGAAACATAATTTCCTGCTCATATCAGTCACAGCATTTACAATGTCATCAGTCAGCAAACCTCAAATTAAAATGCTTCTTCCTTGCACAGATTTATAGAATAGCAATCAATCATGTGACTCTGGGGTGCTGGTCTACTAACCTCTATCTTAAAGCGGTCCTATTATGCGTTTTCACTTTTTCAACTTTAGTTAGTCTGTAATGTTGCTGTTTGAGCATAAAAAAGATCTGCAAAGTTACAAAGCTCAAAGTCCACTTCAAAAGGAGATATTTTATTTAACAGATTTTTCAAAAACTACAGCGAATGACTCGTTTGTACTACAACGCATATTTTCCAGGATTTGTGATATCACAAATACCGACGAATGGGACGAGACCTGGTTGAGCTGCACTAGAGAAGGCAACGAGTGTTATCACTATGTCGGAGACACGCTAGCTTTCCCAAGGCAGACGAACTTAGAGTGGTTACAATCATCCGGTTTTAAATCGCGCTCAAATTGAGTTGATTTTGACGCAATATTTACACTGAAGCTCGCAGG